TTCAAAGAAGGACAGGTCTTGAAAATGAAAGGCTTGATCATTCAAAGAAAGACAGGTCTTGAAAAGGAAAGGCTTGATCATTCAAAGAAGGACAGGTCTTGAAAATGAAAGGCTTGATCATTCAAAGAAAGACAGGTCTTGAAAGGGAATGGCTTGACGATTTCAAGAAAGGACAGGTCATGGGAATGGCTTGACGATTTCAAATAAGGATAGGTCATGGGAATGGCTTGACGATTTCAAAAAAGGACAGGTCATGGGAATGACTTGATGATTTCAAAGAAGGACAGGTCATGGGAATGACTTGATAATTCCAAAAGGACAGGTCATGTGAGGAACTTGGTGATTCAAAAGGACAGGTCATGAGAGAGACCTGGTGATTCAAAAGGACAGGTCATGAGAGAAGACTTGTTGAATTCAAAGGTGATGGGTTAACATAAGTATACTTTCCGCCCTTGATGATTTCCTCACAAGGCCGGTAAGTGGAGGACTTCTTGATGGGTATATCCTTATACCCGACCCGGATAACCGAAAGGGACAGGTCAAAACATGACCGGTCACTTTTATCAAGTCACCAAATGATGTTAACTCTTCGATTGGGACGGGTCAAAAATTGACCGGTCACTTCCACTAAAAAAGTGACCGGTCACATTTTGGGCGATAGCCATTTCGCCACTTAATGTTGTGAAGGATATTCCAGAGGACCAAAGAGATGGGTTGAACTCAAGAAATGACCGGGTAACCTTTGAGGAAAGGTGACCGGTCATGTTGCGCTACTTGAGAAGGGCAATCAACATCAGAGGCTAGAGGACACCCCGTCGCTCATCCATCACGAGGCAAACAGTGAAGGGAATGATTGGCGTTTTGCAGGATTGATTGGATTGAGAATATCCATGTTAGTCTTTGATTGAACAGTGCATGTCTTGGCTTGTAGTTGCTATATTCATTGATTGAATAGTAAATTGATTATGTACAGTGACCTTCCTCCGGGTTTCCCATTTTGTCCATGGATGAACAGGGGAAGGTCACAAATCCTCCTCTATAAATATGATGATATTGGATAGAGGAGGGGACCCATTCTTTATCTCACTAAAAACTAGTATACTCTTGAGACAGAGTAAGAAATATATTTCGGACTGAGGAGATTTACCCGGTCTAGGTCATACTTTGTGTTCTTGTTGTGTGTATATATATTGCGGGTCGAGTGTGTCCAGGTCAAACCCGGTCAACCCGCCCACCTATATTTACACCATCAAGACAGTCAAAACGAATTTAATGACATGTTCAAATAATTTTTTTAAGAACTTTATTTTCAACCTCCGGGTCCACCCCAATCATTAATTAATTTATTTAATTAATGTCGAGAGGTCCGTTATTATAACATCTTTTTATATTAGAATACATTAACTTTTGAAGTCCATCTAATGGGATCAAAATATGATTATTTATTAATTAAAACAATGAGTCTCAATAAATAAATAATATTTATTTATTAAAAACTAGGCCGGTTTGAGGGTGTTACAATTATCTCCCCCTTAAAGGAATTTCGTCTCCGAAATTCTCCTCAAGTCACACCTCACGTGTTTAGGGAGATAGTGCGTTAACCAAAACTTTATCTTGTTAAGCATATGAGGGCATAATAAATTAAAGACCAATTGAGGGATTTCATCCAAGGAACATGTTTGGTTGGGACAAGTGCCTTGCGATGTGCACGTTGGTAGCGCTCTTTCGAATAGTAACTTTGCCTCCTGTTCTTTCGTCTCTTACCAAGCACAAAGGTTCGACTGGAGTCAACGCTTGACACGCTTTTGGTACTGATGGTACTCATCTAACAATCGCATAGTATCAAAATGGGAACCAATGAGCGTATAACACAATTGGTTTGACGCCTCATTGTACGCTCACGTGCTCAGGCACTCCTATGTGGATCTACCTATCCGTCATTGCCTACTGCTTGGCTCATTCTCTAGCCTATAAGAAGAGCTTAAATCAGAACTAATTACAATATGACATACGTGTGAATAAAATACCGGTGTACCTTTCCCTGGAGTGATGTGATGGGAGATGCGGCTGTGGACTTTTTTTTTTTTTGAAAATACCCTTTGACCAAGATGACAAAATATGTTTTTTTTCACAAAATCGAACTGCTCTGATACCAAATTGTAACACCCGCCTTCCGTGGACCCGGTTCACCCGCGACCCAACGGACCGATAGGGTTACATGAGACTTTTCTCTTATCCCCTTGATGTATGCAATCTTACCTTTATAAAATACATGAGACTTTTCTCTTAGCCCCTTGATGGATTGCTGCATTTACTACCCAAAACTTTATTGACAGTAAGAAGCAAATGAAGTTTAAAGTGCTGTTTTTTTACCCAAAACTTCATTATTTACCTAAAAGTTGCGACTTTTTTTAGCTCCATTGGCAATGAAGACAGTTGACTAAATTTATGAGTTGCAAATGTTTTGTGGAAAGTAATACTCCGTATCTTGTACGAGTCAAAATATTCAAAATATACATTTTCACTGATAATTTATCCAAATATGGAAATACATGTGACACTTCTCTGTCACACATATTCTAAGCACAATTAATTTGTGTCATAAGGTTGATGCATATTTTGGTGGTTTTTGGATGTTAGAGGATGTTTTATAAAAACTCCAAATATTTGTGAAACAACAAAATCAAGAAACTCGGTTTCTCCTTTTCGGTCATTGTGTGTGTGTGTGTCTATGTGTGTGTGTGTGTATGTATGGGGTTTTAATTATAGAAATATAATTATGCAATATTCCTTTTTTTAAAATATGAATTCTACTGTAATTAAATTTTTGGGGTTTATGGGATTTTTTTTATTTGTTCGGTTTTGTGGAATATTATTTTCCCTTTACATTTATTTTTATTTTGAAAGAAATTTGACATTTAGGAAATACTCTATAATTTTTTTTGGTGAAAGAGAGAGATTGGCTTATGTGGGTAGAACCATAAGATGAGAGGTAAAAGGCTAATGTTGTCATTTGCTTAAGGGTTTGGAAAAGGCGGAGCACCACTATCAACTCTAGGAGCGCCGATATCAATTCCCATTAAATCTAGCTTAAAGTTTTCATTCTTCTTACTTGATATATCTACTGTAATATTGACATGCATGCATTTGTAAATAAATCTGTGAACAGATATTGTTTTCAAAAAAAAACTAATATCTATTTAATTTTTAAACATAGCCCCATGCAAGGCATCAAAGTCATCTATTTGATAAATTATAGATCTATGATTTAGTATTAGATCTGTTCATTTATTTTTAAACAAACCGAGCATGCATGGGAGATATCTGTATAAAAAATTACAAATCTTTGGCTTTAAATTAGATCTCTTAATTTTTTATAGAAACTGAAGCATGCATAGGAGTGATAGATCTGTTTAAAAATTATAGATCTATGGTTTCATATTAGATCTCTTCATTTCTTTTTAAAGAAAATGAAGCATGCATCGGAGCAATCTGTTTTACGAATATATATCAGTTTTTGGTTTCATATTACTTAAAAGTAGTGATTGCCTTGAGCCTCCCGTGCTCACGCTGACCAAGGTAAAGAGAAATGACACTTTGCAGATCTGTCAATCCCATTAAGACGCCAAGATTAACAGCCCATTACCACCCAGTCCATATAACAGTAACCCGACCCATTTATTCTCGACGGGAACACTGTTCAAAAGTACCTCACACCTTTGTATAAATTAAGATTAAGATTTCAATGACTTTTATTTTTTAATTAATTTCATCTACTTTTCCTATCCTTTAAATCATTTTGACTCTCTTTTATTTATATCAATATATTTTAAAAACTAAAATAGGCTAGTCAATGACATTTTTTACCCTTTCGTGTCTCGTTATTATCTTTCATTGATTTTGCTCATGTTTTCAATGTATCATTTTTACTATTAATATTGATATTTAAATATAGTTATACTACCTATGTCTCTGAGTATTTGTCTAGTTTTGACTTTTTTAGTCAACTATTTTTAACCTGTGACATACAATTAAATAAAATATATAATGTATATTAGTTAGATAAAATAATATTTTGAAAATATTTATTTGATGTAATAAATCTAATAAAACCATTTTTGTATCAATATTTAATATCACTTTTATTAATTTGATGCCAAAGTTTACCAATTTTGACCGAAAAAAGTCAAAAGTGAAAAAATATTCAGGGATGGAGGGAGTATTCTTTTAAAGTTTTAATATTTCAAAACTTTGTTTAAAAAGAAATATTGATATTACATTTATAAGAACACACAATATTTTTTTTACATATCCTGGTCAAAGTTAAAAAAATTTTACAAATGAAAAAATTAAATTCAGATGTAAGAACTAAAAAGTAGGGGTGTTCATCGGGTCAAACCCGGACCGGACCGGGACCGGACCGGGACCGAATAAGGGGCATTTGGTGGACTGAGGACCGGACCGATTAAGCTAAGGACCGGCCCGGGACCGGACCGGTAAAACCCGGACCGGTAAAACCCGGACCGGACCGAATAAATGTTATTTTTAATTTTTTTTTAAAATTTGATTTTATTTGTTTAATTTAAAGTATTCAATTGAATAAAAATATTAGTACAACTAATTTTTAATTGTAACATACTCTAAACATTGTCAAACACATTTGTTTTGAATTTTTAAAAAAACTTTAAACAAAATATATATTTTCCATCCGTATTACATAAAATTTTTTCGTAATTTTTATTTTACATAGAGAATATTCTACTTCTTCGTTCATTTTTGCTTTTTTGTAATATTTTTTTGAGTTTTCGATTTATTTTGACAAACGGATACATTTTTTACTATTTTTGTTCATGAGATTGTTTACAATGTTTGTTTTTGCGGATTATCGTTTCATTATTGATAAAAAACAAATTTAAGTGATAGTATTGGTATATAAATTTGAAATGCATTAGATCGCTAATATAAAGGTAATGTTTACTTTTTCACACTTTTCATATTTAAAATATATAAAAATCATTAGAATTGGTATCTTATTTTGAATTGAAAATGTATTTAAAAAATTATATTAAATAATAAAATCAAAACATTTTAAAAAAAATTAGTATTAAAGTTAAACTAATTTTAGGCATAAGAAAAAACCTTAAAAAATACAATATTATAATACTATATAGAAAAAAAATATTTAAAAAAATAAAATGTAACCGGTCCACCGGTCCGGACCGAAACCCGGTGGACCGGACCGGACCAGAACCCGAATAAGGAAAAATTGAGGACCGAAGACCGGACCGAATAAGGTCCGGTCCGGACCGGTCCGGTCCGGTTTTGGCCGGGTTTCGGGTCGGTCCGGGTTTGGACCGAATAATGCACACCCCTACTAAAAAGGATTGCATTAATTGTGTGAAGTCAAATATGGGATGTGAGCAAACTCGTCCACCCAATTTAGGCTAACCAGCCTTGGACGCACAATGTGCGTCGAGTGCCCAAATGATACTCGTACTTCCTATCTAAATGAAACTTTGTTAGAATGTTTGGCTGAATTTATAATTATTTTAATTTATTTCATAATTAGTGTGAAATTAAAAAGTAAATTTCTACATGAGTATTTAAGAATTGCATAAAAAAGTTTATAAAATAAGAGATGATAAAATTATATTATTTTATCAAATGAGTAACAATAATCGTTAAAAAAAAAGATAAAAGTTGGTTATATGAAAAATACTCTATAACTTTTTTGAGAGGGAGAGAGTACTTCAACTTTGTTTGAGAACATCATATTCGATTAGCGTTAATGTTTTGAATAAAATTTAAGTGATATAATTTAACTTTGAAAATGTCAACGTTAAGCAATATCGTTAGATAATCTTATCAAAACGTTAATCTCTAATGATATTTTATATGAGAGTCGTACATTACCCTAGCAAAAAAGTTTCACTTTTTTGTTTTTTATTTTTTAGGAGCCAATATAGGGCATTACAAACATTTTTTCGAGAGGACAATGCGAGTTTGATTCAAAATGAGGGCCTAAGTTACAAAAAAGGAATGAAGAAAATAAAAAATCACGACAAACGAAAAATCACAATTCAACCACATAAAAGGAATAACACTCAATAGTTTGATGATTAGGCAATGCAGAGACTAAGGGGGTGTTTGGTTCAGGGGTAAGGGAATCAGAAACAAAATGGGATTCCCCCATTCGGCAATTTTTATGGTACATCCAGCTGTACTTTCCTTTAGGTACAACCTGCATTTTTGTAATTTTACAAACTTTTTATCCAATGCCCAGAATATATATGAGAACTATTATACTCTCTCCGTCCCAGTGTACTTGTCAAGTTTGACTTTTTCGAGTCAAACTGGATAAACTTTGAGCTTCAATTAAATAAAAATTGTAATGTATTATAACATAAAAATGACTTTATTGGATTTATCGTATTGAGAACTTTCAAAATTGTATTTCATTATGCTAATATGCAATATAAGTTGAGAGTAATTGGAGTTCATAGTTTGTCCAGTTTGACTCGAAAAAGTCAAGCTGGACAAATACATTGGGACGGAGGTATGTATGACAATGAGTACCAGCAGATTTGAGAAGGAGTACCAGCACTTATGAGAATTATCATATTCTTATTCAATACAAACATGAATAAACCTGGGTTTTAAATTATCCATGCTCAGAGAGTATAAATGAGTAGGAACGAATCGAATAGAGGAAGAAGTTGATGATGGTACTGAACTTTTTAATTGTGAAAAAATTGAACAATACTTTATTTCAGAATGAACATTTCCTTATTTGAGAATGAGTATTGTTTTTTTAAAGAATGAACACTACACTATTTATTATAATTATATTAGACAAATGTGTAAAAATGAGCACTTCTTTATTTTAAAATGAGTACTACCTTTGCCAGAATAAGTACTACGTATTTCGAAATGAATGTTTATATTTTTACGAGAATGAGTACTACTTTATTTAAGAATGAGCACTACCGGGATGTACCTATTTCTAAGTACATCCGAATGTACCATATACCAACTCCCCCATTCCCTTTGTTGTGGTTTTTTTTTTTAAAAATTCATTTCCTTTCCCATATTTAGGTTTTGAATTACGGGCTTTGAGCTTTTCCAATCCCGGCTCTATACCCGTGTTTCCCATTCCCATTCCCATTCCCATTCCCTTCGGCCCTTCCCCAACCCGGCCATTTTCCGCTGCTCCGTTTCTTCCTCGCCGACGCACACCTTCTAGCCGCCGCTGCAACTCCATCGGCCACAGCCCAGATACGTTCTCCCCCTCCCTTCCATCTCGGTTTCTACCCCCTCCCCCCCTGCGATTTTCCCCCTCCCCTGCTATTCCCCCCTCCCCTGTGATTCCCCCTCCCCCTCACACCCCGTTTCCTCCCCTCCCTCTCCACCCAAGTGAGGTGAATTGCAAATTGGTCTACATATTCTGGGTCTCCCTATTATGTGACACTTCTCCTTAAGGGAGAACCGTTTGGGTTGAACGGAAAAAAGACCAAATCATTTGGGTTTAACAATTTTGGGTCTTATATAATTAGGGTAGATGCCCTGACCAAACTCATCCACCCAAATTTCCCAAATTTCTGTGATCTATGCGCCATTTCATCTCTCTCTAGGGTTTCACCATTGCGATCTACTATACGCCGCCGCCCGTGAGCACCGAAGCTTCGTTTACCCGGTGAGGCTTCAGCATTGACTGTCGGAAACAGAGTCGTTTCGGTAGGGTATGTAAGTGTTTCATATTGAATTGCATATTTCTTTTTCAAATTCGTTCTTTGAGTATGTATTAATCCCCGATTTTATATAAATTTGCCGATGAATTCTTAGATCTGCTTCTTTCATCTCCAGTTTTTTGGTTGAGAATTCTTGGTTTTAAGTTTTCTAATACCTAAAAGAAAACCATCTATTTTTTTTGACATGCATCTCTTTTTTTTTTGAAGAAATTAATGAAACATATGACAAACTTAAATGTGTTTCTCAGATTATGGCATATACATATAATTATTTCACGGAATTCCTTTCTGAAGTAATGGTTCTGTTCATACCGTAGATCAATTCTATTATTCAGCATTGAAATGAATGCATAAAGTGTGGTATGTGAATGGTAGTAAAATGTTAGTTCTACTCTACGGGAAAAGTAACAAGTTCCGTCTGGTATTGTAGATACGAGAAGATACTAAGAAAGGGATTCATGTAGAAAATCTCACTGAGGTAGATGTTACAAGTGCCCGAGATGTGATTCAACAACTTGTTCAGGTATGTTGTCACTTGTGACTTGTTTAGGAAGTATAGTCTTTACCACTATTATATCTTGTTCTCTTGGTAATGTGTATCCATACACAATTTTTTAACAAGTATTTAATTCAACCAGTTTTTCATTTTTTCATGGGTTTATAGTTTTGCATTCCAGGTGATTTAATAATTCTCATCTCTACTGGAATTTGCTGTATTACTTAATTAGAAATGGCATTATTAGTGTTGTAGTTCTTTGCTCATTTCAGTTCTAGAGTAAAAAGCTAAGAAGGCGGTGTCATAATTTCAAAACATGGGAGAGCATTTCTAGATAAACTAGAGAGTATCCTGGCAAGAGTTTCAAAATTAAGTAAAAAACATGGTTGGCCTTTCTGAACTTTCTGAGAAATATATGCTGGAGACGTGTGGAGTTTACGGGTTTTCTTCCTAGCCATGGAACAATTTTGATATAGTGGATTTGTTCTTTTTCCTATACAATTGAGTTGAGACTTGAGAGCATGTTGCTGAAAAAACCTTGCCACTTTTGTTTTGCAGTATAACCAACACACGTCTCATGAATGAAGAAGCAAACCTGTGTGCACTTGTTTCTAGTGTTTTTTTCCTTTGACCCAAAATAGAGATGGGAAGATAAATAAGATATGGAGGTAGTAATATTTTTTAATATACTCATCTCTAGTTTTGTACCTCTTTTCTCATAAGTGAACATGGTTTCCAGGACACCAAATTTTGGAATTAAGGCTAAGATATTGCTGTTATTGTTGTTGCTGCTATGGCCTTGAGCATTACCTGGGAATCATCAAGCTATGAGTTACAACGTTGTCTGAGAGGCTTAAAATAATTGTCTAGTGTCTCCCATGGAATGTAGTGTTTATCTTGATGTGTCCCATAAATAATGAATTGCGTATTTTCCCACATCAAAAAAATGTGTCCTATATTATTTTTGGGTATAGCAAACCCGAATATGCAAATGCTCCCCACCTATTCATGGGTAGGGGAAGTGAAACCTTAAATTCATCAAAGAGGCAGTGTCTTTATTTTTTGGGCCCTTGAACTCTACCTTTTGAGGGTGGTGCCTATATTTTCCGTAAGCAAGTACTAGGAACCAGCACCTTTTGAGGGTGGTGCTTATCTTAAGAGAAGTTAAGTTGAATCTAGTCTTTAATTGGTCTTTTCAAATTGGCACAGGAAAAGGAGGCACGCAGGGAGGAGAATGAGATTTATTTGCAGGTGTTCTTTTTTAGAGATATACAATGAACAAATTCTTGATCTCTTGGACCCTTCTGTTGTTAATTTACAGGTAAAGAACATCCATTTATCTTTTTTCATTGCACTGCATTGAAACTTCAGATCTCCTGTCTATTACATATTATGTAGTATATTCATAATCATGTTTATATTCATCATTTATATACAGTGGTGAAATATTTCTTTTTAAGTATATACTCGTAATATGTTCTTTAAGTGTGGGGATAATGGTTCAAATGCCCAATAACAAAGAAGTTATATTTATGTTCAGTCTATAAATGCTACGGTTGTATGTATTATGTAATAAAGCAGCAAATGTTTACCTATTTGTTTTTACTTTTTTTTTTAAATTTTATTTACAATGAAAGAAGGTACCTACCCCATTTACTTCCAATTGGTAATGAATATTCAATTGTTTTAATTCCTTTAATTTGAATGTGGCATATACATATAATTATTTCACGGAATTCCTTTCTGATCTAATGGTTCTGTTCATACCGTAGATCAATTCTATTATTCAGCATTGAAATGAATGCATAAAGTGTGGTATGTGAATGGTAGTAAAATGTTAGTTCTACTTTACGGGAAAAGTAACAAGTTCTGTCTGGTATTGTAGATACGAGAAGATACTAAGAAAGGGATTCATGTAGAAAATCTCACTGAGGTAGATGTTACAAGTGCCCGAGATGTGTTTCAACAACTTGTTCAGGTATGTTGTCATTTGTGACTTGTTTAGGAAGTATAGTCTTTACCACTATTATATCTTGTTCTCTTGGTAATGTGTATCCATACACAATTTTTTAACAAGTATTTAATTCAACCAGTTTTTCATTTTTTCATGGGTTTATAGTTTTGCATTCCAGGTGATTTAATAAATCTCATCTCTACAGGAATTTGCTGTATTACTTAATTAGAAATGGCATTATTAGTGTTGTAGTTCTTTGCTCATTTCAGTTCTAGAGTAAAAAGCTAAGAAGGCGGTGTCATAATTTAAAAACATGGGAGAGCATTTCTAGATAAACTAGAGAGTATCCTGGCAAGAGTTTCAAAATTAAGTAAAAAACATGGTTGGCCTTTCTGAACTTTCTGAGAAATATATGCTGGAGACGTGTGGAATTTACGGGTTTTCTTCCTAGCCATGGAACAATTTTGATATAGTGGATTTGTTCTTTTTCCTATACAATTGAGTTGAGACTTGAGAGCATGTTGCTGAAAAAACCTTGCCTGTAAAGTGTACATTCATTCTATACAATTGTAGTCACATGCAATTATACAGTAAATTATTGGATTACTGGATTATAACAAAAACAGTGCTCATGTTTACTGTTTTCTGTTTGAGATACATGTCTGTGGACTGTGGAACTAGTGATACTTGCCTCTTGGACACACTTTCTCTGTGCTTTATTAGTTGAACAAGAATATATTTGCATTAGTTATGCTCTAATAACTTATTCAAAGTACAGGGTGGTGCAAACAGAAAGGTAGCTTCAACAAATATGAACCGCGCTAGTAGTGGTTCTCACAGTGTTTTTACTTGTGTTATTGAAAGTAAGGTAAGATTTTTTATTTAGCTACATTCCTTTTCTTCTTGCCTTATGCTCTTATGATAGTGTGATTTAAATTCCAACCAAAATCTCATATGTGCACTTACGCAGTGGGAGTCCCAAGGTGTAACACACCATCGGTTTGCACGCCTTAATCTTGTGGATTTGGCCGGTTCTGAAAGGTAAACCGAATAATTACAATGAAACACATACGGAGGATCTTAAATGATAGTCATCTGCCAAATCTGTTTTGTAATTGTGCTTTTTTACCAGGCAAAAAAGTTCAGGTGCCGAAGGTGAAAGGCTAAAGGAAGCCACTAACATCAACAAGTCTCTCTCAACATTGGGGTTTGTTGTTCTCATATGTTATTTTTGTGTACAGACTTTTAAGTGTGTTTGTGTTTTTGAAATTGACCTGGTTTAACAATATATAGGCTTGTGATTATGAACCTTGTTGACATGTCCAATGGGAAGTCACTCCATGTTCCTTACCGAGATTCAAAGCTGACATTTTTGTTACAGGTGACATGTCCTGATTTAAGCTTCCCATTAAAGTCCTTAAGTTTCTTAAATTGTTTTCAGCAAGAGAAATTGCAGTAGTGAATCTCCTTCCACACCTTTCCCCTCCATAGAAAACTGAGTGTAATATGCAAAGTTTGTTTCATAATAGCTAATACCCTTTAACAACTTTCATACGGTTGAGAGTGCCCATAATATTCCTTCTTTTCAGGACTCGCTGGGAGGGAATGCAAAAACAATCATAATTGCCAACGTCAGTCCTTCCAGCAGGTAAGAATTACATATCGTTGATGCCTTCTACCAAATCACATTTGTCTTTGTATCCTGAGTTACATTTTGGATCAAAGGCTCCCCTGTTTTGGAGACTAAATAGTTCATTTTAACCAAATGTTGAAATGAAGAAACAAATAATTATGACTTGACTTCTGCAGCTGCTCTCTAGAAACTCCAAGCACATTGAAATTTGCTCAGCGTGCCAAATTCATAAAGAATCATGTAAGTGCTTATCCTGACCTTGATGACTTCACAAATACATTAACCTTGTTCATCATATATCAATTACAAGCCTTTATTTCATGTGATCCCCACTCTCCATTTATCTTTTTTCATTGCACTGCATTGAAACTTCAGATCTCCTATCTATTACACATTATGTAGTATATTCATAATCATGTTTATATTCATCATTTATATACAGTGGTGAAATATTTCTTTTTAAGTATAGTGTGGGGATAATGGTTCAAATGCCCATTAACAAAGAAGTTATATTTATGTTCAGTCTATAAATGCTACGGTTGTATGTATTATGTAATAAAGCAGCAAAAGTTTACCTATTTGTTTTTACTTTTTTTTTTAAATTTTTATTTACAATGAAAGAAGGTACCTGCCCCATTTACTTCCAATTGGTAATGAATATTCAATTGTTTTAATTCCTTTGATTTGAATGTGGCATATACATGTAATTATTTCACGGAATTCCTTTCTGAACTAATGGTTCTGTTCATTCCTTTCTGAGCATATGGAGATCAAGGAATAGAATCATGCATCAAAAGAGAGCCACGGAAGATGACACCAGGGACTACGCAACTAATTATATGCACTCTTTTTTTATCTTTAAAAAGGTAAAAGGATGTGAGAGAGCTGTTGATGATGAATGTTAGTTTTTGATGTGTAAACTATGATTGAAGTGGGTAATAAAGTTGTGTTTCATGTTCAAAAAAAAAATGGTTCTGTTCATACCGTAGATCAATTCTATTTTTCAGCATTGAAATGAATGCATAAAGTGTGGTATGTGAATGATAGTAAAATGTTAGTTCTACTCTACGGGAAAAGTAACAAGTTCCGTCTGGTATTGTAGATACGAGAAGATACTAAGAAAGGGATTCATGTAGAAAATCTCACTGAGGTAGATGTTACAAGTGCCCGAGATGTGATTCAACAACTTGTTCAGGTTGATGTCACTTTTGACTTGTTTAGGAAGTATAGTCTTTACCACTATTATATCTTGTTCTCTTGGTAATGTGTATCCATACACAATTTTTTAACAAATATTTAATTCAACCAGTTTTTCATTTTTTCATGGGTTTATAGTTTTGCATTCCAGGTGATTTAATAAATCCCATCTCTACTGGAATTTGCTGTATTACTTAATTAGAAATGGCATTATTAGTGTTGTAGTTCTTTGCTCATTTCAGTTCTAGAGTAAAAAGCTAAGAAGGCGGTGTCATAATTTCAAAATATGGGAGAGCATTTCTAGATAAACTAGAGAGTATCCTGGCAAGAGTTTCAAAATTAAGTAAAAAACTTGGTTGGCCTTTCTGAACTTTCTGAGAAATATATGCTGGAGACATGTGGAGTTTACGGGTTTTCTTCATAGCCATGGAACAATTTTGATATAGTGGATTTGTTCTTTTTCCTATACAATTGAGTTGAGACTTGAGAGCATGTTGCTGAAAAAACCTTGCCTGTAAAGTGTACATTCATTGAACTCTAGGCAATGTTGTGCCGACAATGATTTTTTTCAACATAAATGAATTATATAATAGCTATTTGGATGTGCAATCTGGACAGACACTTAATGATTGGTAACTAAATTACCTTCCTCACAAATTTCAATCTTGCATTCACAGGCTGTTATAAATGAAGATGCTTCTGGAGATCTTCTTGCAACGAGGGTGCAGATTCAAAATCTGAAGGTATTGGTTTAAATCAAGCCACATCACCCCTACCCTAATCTTTGCTAGAAGCCTAGCTTCTGCTGAACTCTGCTACCGATAACATCTTTATGTTATTCTGTGTTAATAAATGAACACTCTTTTGAGAAGACCGAGTATAGTCCCAATATACCCCTATAAAATACATGAGACTTTTCTCTTAGCCCCTTGATGGATTGCTGCATTTACTACCCAAAACTTTATTGACAGTAAGAAGCAAATGAAGCTTAAAGTGCTGTTTTTTTACCCAAAACTTCATTATTTACCTAAAAGTTGCAACTTTTTTAGCTCCATTGGCAATGAAGACAGTTGACTAAATTTATGAGTTGCAAATGTTTTGTGGAAAGTAATACTCCGTATCTTGTACGAGTCAAAATATTCAAAATATACATTTTCACTGATAATTTATCCAAATATGGAAATACATGTGACACTTCTCTGTCACACATATTCTAAGCACAATTAATTTGTGTCATAAGGTTGATGCATATTTTGGTGGTTTTTGGATGTTAGAGGATGTTTTATAAAAACTCCAAATATTTGTGAAACAACAAAATCAAGAAACTCGGTTTCTCCTTTTCGGTCATTGTGTGTGTGTGTGTCTATGTATGTGTGTGTGTGTATGGGATTTTAATTATAGAAATTTAATTATGCAATATTCCTTTTTTTAAAATATGAATTCTACCGTAATTAAATTTTTGGTGAGAGAGAGAGAGATTGGCTTATGTGGGTAGAACCATAAGATGAGAGGTAAAAGGCTAATGTTGTCATTTGCTTAAGGGTTTGGAAAAGGCGGAGCACCACTATCAACTCTAGGAGCGCCGATGTCAATTCCCATTAAATCTAGCTTAAAGATTTCATTCTTCTTACTTGATATATCTACTGTAATATAGACATGCATGCATTTGTAAATAAATCTGTGAACAGATATTGTTTTCAAAAAAAAAAACTAATATCTATTTAATTTTTAAACATAGCCCCATGCAAGGCATCAAAGTCATCTATTTGATAAATTATAGATCTATGATTTAGTATTAGATCTGTTCATTTATTTTTAAACAACCCGAGCATGCATGGGAGATATCTGTATAAAAAATTACAGATCTTTGGCTTTAAATTAGATCTTTTAATTTTTTATAGAAACTGAAGCATGCATAGGAGTGATAGATCTGTTTAAAAATTATAGATCTACGGTTTCATATTTGATCTCTTCATTTCTTTTTAAAGAAACTGAAGCATGCATCGGAGCAATCTGTTTTACGAATATATATATCAGTTTTTGGTTTCATATTACTTAAAAGTAGTGATTGCCTTGAGCCTCCCGTGCTCACGCTGACCAAGGTAAAGAGAAATGACACTTTGCAGATCTGTCGAATCCCATTAAGACGCCAAAATTAACAGCCCATTACCACCCAGTCCATATAACAGTAACCCGGCCCATTTATTCTCGAAGACTTTCAAACTCCAAGAGTCGCTCGAAGGCTCTTTCAAACTTGAAGAAGAGGGTTTCTGAATTAGAGAAGGATATGTCTGTAATGAAGCGGCGAAATCTCTCGAAGAGGTTTTGGTCAGATTAAAGTATCATTGCAGGTTTTTGAATTGGAATCCGAGAGCCAGGAGTTGTCTCATAAGGATGGCTGGGGTGTTTCTAATTTTCCGTCATCAGAGGGGGATATGCCCGAGTTTGATGAAATCCGATCTGCCCCGACCCGGGCTGCTGGTGATGTGGAGGTATGTGATGAGAAGGAGAAGAGTGAATCCCGCAGGGCGATGCTGGCATCTGAGGTTTCTGATGATGAAACCCGATCCTCCCCGACCCAGGCTGCTTGTGATATGGAGATAGGTGATGAGGAGAAGGAGAAGAGTGAATCCCCATCTGACCTGGAGAGCTTGAGAAGTTGTGGCTCTGAGTTCGAGTATACTGTAAACTTGCTGGCTAATCACATTTATTTACTATAAAGTTAGGATTTTTTTTAAAGTTCACTCAACTTTTGCTTCGAAACTTACAATCTTTGTTGGACAGCTAACTGAGGAGGAGGAGGAAGAGACTCCTGTTAGGGAGAATGAATTTGAAGGCTTTTCACGTGCAAAAAAGGTACATCACTGTTTGAAGCCTATATACGCAGGTGTGAAGAGATTTGCTGATCACAGTACCAAAGGTCGTGCCTTATTCCACGCTCTGATTTCTGCAGCCTCCATAGCTGGCCTACTGTTCGATAAGGTCTTTTTTTCTGAATGTTCTTTTATTACTTAGTATATTTGAATCTCTTTAGTTTCTTTGCTCTGGGATACATTTCTGCGAAAAGCTGGTAACAGCACGAAACTGTTGATAAAGTTTAACTGGCCTTAGATAAAATTGAAGTCAATCGTTTATTCTATAACCATCTTTGTTCTATATGTTTTGACAAGAGGATTACTACTTTTTTGGTATGTCTGCTGAGATGACTGAGCAATTGAATGACTTGTGGAATGAAATACTTGATAAGACAAAAGAGGTTTTTCATAAGATAAAAGGGGTTAGTACCTGATCCTTTGGTCTCTCTGTTTCATCCACGCTTGTGTGGTGGTGGGGGGGGGGGGGGGACCAAGCCTACCCAGCTGGGATGAGGATGTGAGCCTCCTTCCTGTTAGAGGTCAAACACGAGTTACCTAAATTGAGCTCACTTTATCCCTATCGTACCTTCTCTATGCACTTTGCATTATGTGTTTCTCATTTTTATCTGCTGTCTCCTCAATCCATGAGCTGTTAGTGGATCTCTTTGGATGTATATGTTCACCTCTTATTGTTTGTAAACAAAAACTAGAGGTAAATTGATTTGGGTGCTATTACCTATTTTTTCCGTTGAGAGATTTCTTTGGATTATAATTGGTGTGAATGGTGGAAATGTGCTTTCAGACCAGTGACTATGAAGTGTACCTCCTCTCTTTCCCCCAATCATACAACTTATTTTTCATTGTTGCTTCTATTTGTCATCAGCCTCCTTGTTTGTATTTCCCCATCTTACCTTATTTCACCCACTTTTATTATTGTTGGATAATTTGCCAGCTCCTCTCTAATGTATTAATTTGCGATACGGACGTACGGTGTACCATGTATTCGGTTCGGTGTACCAAAAGTCAAAACATAAGTTTTGCCAAAAGCCATTGAAAAAAGAGAGAAAAAATTACTGGATATTGAGGACTTTAGATTGGGTTGTGGTTACTGGTTAGACTTGAGAGAAGTCAGAGAACAATCGAGAAACGCACGGAGACTATGAACGACTCGCACGGAACTTGGGGAAGTGCAATCGCGAATTGACCTTTTCAATTTACGGAGAGAACAATCGCTTGGAAGAGGGAAGGTCGCGGGAGAGATGAAATTGCGATTTGGATCGCTGGACCTCCGGCGATTGGTACTCCATATTCTCCGACTTGGTGCGACGTTCTAGGGCATCTGGATCGCCGGCGAATTGCGAATTGGAGCGCCGTACCACACCGATTTGGATCGTCGTACCGGTGGCGATCGGATCGCCGGCGACTTGCGATCCGGTACGATTCGTACCAATTCGGAAATCGTGGCTAGGTAAACGAATTCTGTAACTATGGTTGANTTATTTTGCTAATTAATTGATGTTGAATAGATATTTGTGGACAACCCTTTGAATTGGTAGAAGTTGGGTTTCATGGTTGATTTTGTTTGTTATGGACTTATGGTAGAAAATTTGAATCTTTTGTAATTGTACGAGGGGTGTTTGATATATGTTCTGTTTTAATTATGGTAGGTTGTTTGCCTCGTCCCTATAATCCATTAGAAGTTGTAATTGCTTGTGCAGGTGAGTAAATTGGCCTATTTACTATTTGGCTGGGTTAATTTTATGCTTCAAGCTAATAATATCATATTGTTTCTTGTGATATTTTTTTGATGGTAAAGATAGCTTTCCATTAATCAATTACACAAGGAGATTACAAAATCTAGAGGGGAACTCAACCAATAACTTGATTGAGTCTCTGCAGATTTCGCAAACACATGAGCAATCAAATTTTGAGCATGACTTACATGATGAATAGAGACAAGCCAAAATAAGGCAGTAGGTGTGATGCAATCCGCAATAATAGAGCCAAAGTATGATAAGCTAACCGAATGATCCCCTTTCCAAGGGGCATTCACGGACACACCACCATTAGACAATCTCAACATTCCTCTACTTCACGAATAACCTGAGCATTCAACCAAGATAGCACCTCCTTACAAATGAAGAGCTCAGCACGAAAAGAGTATTGAATGCTTTGAACAAGACCACACCTAACAAGGAAATAACCTCTATTTGAATCCATCATTACACAGCCAAAACCTAATTTGTTGACACAGGGAAAGATTGTTGCGTAGACCATGCAGCAAACTTATTGTAATTTTAATAATTTTGGACTACAACTTAACAAACAAAAACTGTGTCTTTAGTGTTTACACAATTCCTAAGCGTACAAAACTATAGTTTTTCGTAGAACTTTTACGATTAGAAATTAAACTTTAACTTGGTAACTATTTGTTAATCTGGAAAATTAGTAAAATGATTTATTCTAGTCTTGAAATAATAATGGACTTAAATAAATCATTGAAATAAATATTCATTATTCATTTGTACTGAAAATATATATATATTATATATATAATCAAAAATTTCGAAAATATAGATTTATATATATTTCGAAATTGTAAACATAATTTTATTGGACATAAAATATCATTTTATGGTCAATAAAATTATATTGTAATTTTTGAAATTGTTTATTTCCAATTGTTGATTTAATTGTATTTGTTTAGATTTAATTCTAATAAATCTTAAATATATATATTTCGGTATATATATATATATATATATATATATATATATATATATATTACGGAGTAATATGGCTCCGATACCACTGAAAGCTAAGAGCAGTTGGGAGAGCAGCGGAAATACAAAAATTTAAGCTCTCAATAGTGATTACTAGCCCAAGAACACATACTAAAACTATATCTAGAGATAGAAACATATAGCTTCTCCGGTTAGTGGTAATGATGTTGAATCGATGGAAGACGTTGAATGAGCAAGCGTAGCCGTTCAAGCGTCCGGCCTCCAATTTTGACACACGAACAATCTCCGGAGTCTACTATAATCCTTATGTTAGTAAAGATTATAATAGTATATTTAATATAAAGATTTAAGATGGATAATATTAATCTTGTATATTAAATAGTAGAAAATATATCAATAATATATTAAAGAAAATATTATGACAGTTTTCTACGCCCAAAACAATAATTTTGGAACTCAAAATAATACTCTCTCTTGCTCCTTCACTTGGCCGAAGGTGTGCCTCTCTTAGGGAGAGAAGAAAAAAATGCATTTTATAATTATTAAAAGCATAAAAACATTTTCAATGGCAAAATGCCTAAAGTACACTTATTATGAAATGTAGTGGGAGACAAAAGTCCCCACACATAATTTCATACTTGGTCCGTCCCTGAGTGTTTGTCCACTTTTGACTTTTGGAACTGTTCATCAAAGTACTTTGATTCATCAAATTCTCTCAATATGCAAGCTTAAAAATAGTCATGTGTGATCTTGTTTGATTCGTCTTAACATATAGATTATTAATATATAATTTTTATAATTTTTTAATATATAAATTACAAGATAAAATGGATTAACGAAGTGCATTGGATGGTGTGCAAAAATGAAAGTGGACAAACACTCATGGACGGAGGGAGTACATGCATATTTCGGAATTAAGAGGGGGAAGAATTTAAAATTCTTCTCCTCTCAAAATGTTTAAAGTGTATTTGATTTGACATCAATAATTTTTATGATATAAAATAAAATATCAAAAATATTTTAAAACGAGTATAGAAAAATACTTTAAAAATAGTTTTTGTCAAAATAATTATTTTCATAATTAAAATGACATTGTAAAATAAAATATGCACACTATAATATATATATATATATATATATATATATATATATATATATATATATATATATATATATAGATTTTGGTTCTGGTGAGAATGCAATCTTAGGAGAGAAATGAGAATGAATCTGGTACTTTAGATTGTGAGATCTAAGGGTCAAGATTTCATCAAAATTAGATGCAACAAAATAGTGCGAAAATGCATCACGTCGAAATGCACCATAAACCTTCGAAAATGCACTATCTCAAAATCTGAGCGCAGGATGCAATCTGAGCTGCACGATGCATCAAATCCGACGGCTAGATTTTATTCTCATTTCTCTCCACAAGGTGCATTCTCACAGGAACCAGCCCCTATATATGTGTGTGTGTAAGGTTCTTTTGGACTCGAGAGTCGAGATCACAATTTTCAGAGATGGGCTCCATCCCTTCATCGCACCCTCAGAGACCAGAAACACCCAATTGGATCGCGCTTCTTCGACAATAAAGAGGGTCTGCGACACCGGAGGGACAATAGGAAATTCAGGCATCATAGGGATTCAAAATACAGAACAAGGTACGAAACTGATGGGAAATTTCATCCCTATGCTGGTCCATTCTTCAAGTCACACGGATTACTCTCCATATATCTTGAAAGCAAAAGGTATGACTTTCATTACTCAGGTCCCCTTCATATTTCAGAGCTCAGGAAAGGATATTTTCGTACTATTTCTGTTTCCACTCCATTGGCATTTTGGATGCTTCAATCACTGGAGCATCATCTTATGGAACAAACTGATTGGGCATTAACTCAATTTGAGGGGAAAAACTCAATTAATATCACTTGGGACTCAAATTTTTTTGGGAATTTTGTGAAGATTACTACTGTTCTTGATGGAAATCGATCCACTATTTGTGTTCCGTTAGGTGAGGGTAAAAATGGATTGAAGTTCTTTATTAAGGCACTATCTAGGTCTCTTTCTGAAAGGAATGCACTATTTATTGAAACTGATGATACTAAGGTCCCTAACAACCTAGAATCCACCTCAAGCAGTGGAGTGGTTCCTCTCCCAATCCCAGTTTGCCCTAGACCAGAATGGCAAGACCCTTTAATTAAAGCTTTTGAGAGCAACTCAATTGTACTAGATGCTTCTGCTAATTCCATACCTGGTCTCCTTTTTCAAACAGATATTATGGAATTTTGCCTACTACCCTATTGAATTATGTTGCAAGGGAGACTTCGATGACGAATTCAAGCTTTTGGAGCCTATTTTTTAGAACACTTTTGGTTCGTTTGGTACGTGGAATTGACGGAATTGGAATTGAATTGGAATTTAAATTCCATGAGATTTAATTCCATAGAATTGAGTTCTGCCAATTCCAATTCATTTTTACACTATAAATTCCAAATCCACATAATTTTTATGTTACCAAACACCAGAATTGGAATTGAAGTCCTCAATTCCAATTCTATGGTTTGAATTCCATGTACCAAACGGGGCCTTTGAATCTTTGTTCAAAGAAACATCCTGTTATATTAGGGAGGCAATGACCATTGGTTTAGTACGCGACAAGCTTTTAAAAGGTTTTCTAAAGAATGGAAAGGGTAGGGCTTTAAGGATGATAAGGAACCTCGCAAAGAGCATCGAGGTAGCCGATTCTGTCAAGATCAAGGGTACTAAACACCCTGTTTATTTGATTTCTGCATCTGAGGACTCTAGAATAATTAAATCTTGTTGTGGTACATTTTTACATGACCTCTAAGCTTGGTCATTTCTTGCTGGACTGACCTCCACTACATGGTCTTTTCTAATGCTGTTCTTTGGGGAGTTTTTTGCTCAGAGCATTCTTTCTATAGTCTGATACGAGAGTCTCACCTATCAATTTGGTTTTAAAAATTGATATGAGACCCCAACTGGCGCAGATCTACCACTTCGATAAGGGTATGTGATTGAACTTTTCTTCCTGGTTTTTTCCTCCTACGGTCAGACTTTTGAGAAGTGAAGGTAGCATCTCCTCTGTCCCTTTTTGCTTGGCTTCGAATGTCTAAATTTTATAATTGGCTGGTATCCATCCTTAACCTGAATGGAATATTCAGCATCTTGGGTCTTAATAGTTGACCAAGGGTACGTCTGGGACCTACTGTTATGCTTAGCTGGTCGCTCTCTTGATTAGGTAGACTCAAATGACTGGAATTTACTGAGAGAGAATATTGCTCGGACCCTTGGCCCATAGTTGTGAATGGCGAATGGCGAGCGGTAGGCGAGATGTTTTTTTTTATGGCGAGAAACGTGGCGAGGGGCGGGCAGTCAAATGGCGAACATTATATATATATATGATTCCGTTTTGAATCAAACTCGCATTATCCTCCTGAAAAAATGTTTGTAATGCCCTTTATTGGCTCCTAAAAAATACGGTGTAGTGGAATGCATTATCCTTACCTTGTTTCTATAATGCACTGGGTTATCATGTAAATGCATTACATATATCCTGATAATGCATAATTGAAGGAATCCATAATTTAGTAATTAAAATTTAACTATAATGCAAAGCATATTACACTACACCTTAAATATTCTATGATGCATAGCTAGAGTTAATAATATGCACTTAGAACAACCACCTTGCTCAATAAATCAATATTAGTGTTTTTGTTGCACTTTTTATAATGCAAAATATGGGCGTAAAGGATGCAATAGAATTAAAAAATACAAATTAAAAACAAAACTTTATGATGTGTGAAAAAAAGTTCAAAGCTAATTTAGTGTATCTTGCTCACTACGATTCTGAGAATGCATTATCCTTTATTATTAAAATGCATTTCTTTCTCTGATAAATGCATTATCTAGATAGTGATAATGCACAATAACAGAATCTCAAACAAATTTTATATTCACGGTACACTCAGAGTATGTTGGAGTTTGCATCATATTGAATCAAAAACCTTAATATGGGATCACAATATAAATTAAAGTTCTGCTAGATACAATGCAAAAAGTTGAGCAATACCAAACTTATTATACAAAACACAATCACTTTAAATTTACCTAAAACACAATTTTGGACAGTATAAAATAAAATGCTATAAGATTATGTTAATATGCACTAAGGCATATTATATATGCTTCATGCTAAAGAAGAGAGTCAACAACAACCAAACGTGCATTAAAAGAATTAAAATTGAGAACATTACCTGGAAAAAAAACCAAAAGTGCATTACAGTAAAAAACCAAAAGTGCATTAAACAACAACCAAAAGTGCATTAAAAGGAAATAAAAATGACATTACCTAAAAAAACCTATACGAAAAAGAATTTAAAAAATATAAATTTAAAGTAAAAAAATCTTTCAAGGATTAGAAATGTGAAGTAAATCCTTGCAAAGAAATGAATTCGCCGCAATAGAGGGAACAAAATCCACAAATACCACTGAAAATTGATGAAAACAAATCAAAATTGAGAACATTATGAGTATGATTCAACATGAAACAAGTAATAATTCACGATCCAAAGTTAGAAAATTCAAGAATGGATAGGAAAAAGTTATTTGTGTTTTCAAAAACCAAATCCACTTCCAATTCTCGAATAAAATTTAGCGATTGCAAAACATGGTGAAGGCACAATCCAAACTTGCTGCTCATTATTTTTGGAGTGAAGGCACAATCCAATTCAATAATTGAATCTCATAGCCATAAGGATCGGAAAACGGAAATTGAAAAGAGAGAAAACAGTGTGCAAATTTTCCGGAGAAAGGGAACCTGATAAGGCAATAATAATAGTGTGTTGAAAAATCCTAAAATGCCCTTCTGAAAAGATAGAAGAATGATCGGATGAGATAAGATCCAAGGGCTATCATTTATTCTTATTTCTTTCATTAGATCCTTTTCTCACCGGAACCAAACTCTATATATATATATATATATATATATATATATATATATATATATATATATATATATATATATATATATATATATATATATATATATATATATAGGGATTGACTCCAGTCAGATGACATCTTTCGGTCAGATGACACTTTCGGTCAGATGACATGCTTCAGAATGAGCACCACCTTGTTTGCGAATGAGCACCACCTTAATTCAGAATGAACACCACACTGAGACTGTGAATGAGTACTAGGTTGTTTCAGAATGAGTACTACGTTTATAACGAATAAATGTGTGAAAATCAACCCTACAATGTCTTAGAATGAACACTACGTGGATTTAAAATGAACCTATGTTGTCGTCTCGCTGGCTATGAATGAACACTACATTGTGATGAACAGTTGTGTGAGAATGAATCCTACGTTGTTTAAGAATGAGCGCTACATTGATTCAGAATGAGCATTCGTTGTCATCTGACCGAAAGTGTCATCTGACCGAAACATGTCATCTGACTGGAGTCAATCCCATATAGGATTGACTCCAGTGAGATTGTTATACCCGAGCCTAGCCCCATGAAACTCTCACTCACGCCTTACACTATCATAAGAACCAAATGACTTATATTCAAATATTATGATCCATTTTAGTTGAATTCAAATGGTCCTTAAACCCGAAAGGCCAAAACAACCTCCGTTTGACCCGAGGGTTCTGTGGTCTACTCCCATTTCAGTCCAAACCATCCCAAAACATCCAAAATATTTCCTTTTCAAAATAAAGTTTTTCCTACTCTTATTTTAGCCATGGCCGAAAATAAGAGTGTATAAACCAAAACCTTTTTGTTTGTTGTTATTTTCCTTCTTTTAAGCCTTTTAATAAACCAGTAAAACCCTCTCTTCCTTCCTTTCATTCCCTGCCCAAATAAACCTCACAATCCCAACACAA